CTCCCCTACCCACCACACACATACATGATGGATGGACCTGGGGAAAGAGAGTGTCCTCCTGGAGCGTCAGAGTTTTCATCTTTAAAAATAGTCCTTCCTCCTCATGATCTCACCACAGAAACTTTTGGAGCTATATGGTAGGGAATGTGACAGTTCTTTAAAAGGAAGTATGCGAAATCCACACAAGGCAGTAACATTGTAATATCACTGTTTATAACTGTGGTTCCAGGGACCCAGCCATGAGGCTACCATCTTGCTCCATCTCCCTGGGCCATTGGTCTGGGAGCGGAAGAATGCAAGGCACTGGGGAGGAAAGTGTCCACACTGCCCAGGAGCCTGGCGGGATCACTCGGAAACACACTCAATCTTGGGAGAAACACACAGCGAAAAACCCCACCACTCCCATTGCCCTTTCCTTTCTCTAAGCGTTTCCAACAGACAGCAACATGTACACAATTCTAAGGCTTCATCAGGTAGAAGGGGGTTCTGGTGTGGCCCTCAGCTAGCTCTCCGCAGTGTGCATGAACAGCAAGGTCCCCCAACAAAGGGCACCAGACATTCATTCCCTTATAGATTCTGTTTTCAGGTTACGTGCAATGACAGGACAGTTGCTAATCACCACCAAGACGGGGCCGTCCCAGAAGCATTCTGAGAAAGACACACTGGTTCTGTGAGCTCTGAAGCACCCTTAGTCTGTCCTGCCTGGAGGATCAATGTGGCCGGAGGACGAGAAAGACAAAAGAGGATAGACGGCTGAACCAGTCATTCCTGCCATGGTCAAGTTGTCCTTTCTTGGAGGGAGGAGGAAGACGGGAGGGAGCTAAGAGGCTGCAAGACAACAAGGAGACCCCGCAAAGAGCTTCAGAGGGCCCACGAAGAATGATCTCAAGCAGTATTAGCTGCTCCATGGCATGATACTGTCCCCGTTGGGTGTTCCCTGCGCTCTGTACCCCTCATGCCCTAACACCATCAGAACAGGAGGAAGGGTGCATTTGCTGTCTCTCTGTTCCTACCCATCTTCCCCTCTCCATTTCCTTTTTTTTTTTTTTGCTGCTGGGGCTGCAATCTGCCAGTGTGACCCCTGGTGGCTCTGCAGGCAGGAGGGTGAGGAGAGTGGCCCTCATATGAAGCCACAACCCCAATGAAAGAGGCTATTCTGAATCCGGGAGTCACACGGTTGTTGAGTATCAGTCCCTGAGATGTGGCACTGTGGCGCTTCACCTCACCACCACCATCAATGTCATTCTGTGGTAACGTGTGTGTGCCACTGTGTGCCACGGACACAAACACGCACATTCAATATCCCTCCTGCTTGGACCCTTCCCCCGCCCTCCCCTCCTCCCACTGGTCTCCCTGTTGCTCTCGGCTTCCCTGTAAAGAGGTCTTTTTCACACTGAGTTGTATCACAGCATGCTTTGCTCAAAACCCTGCCTGGCTCCCACATCCCTCAGAGGGAAGGCCCAAGGCCTCCGGGCCTGACCTGGTCTGGTGGTCACCGCCCCCTCAGCACTCAGCGCTCACTGAGCTTGATTCTCAAGCACACTATATACTCGCGCCTGCTTTGGGCCTTGATGTACCTGCTTCATCTGTTCCAAAGGCTCCAAAACATCCTCCTGCAAGTCTGTGCTCAAATGTCGCCTTCTCCGTTCAGCCCTGCAAACTGCCCTCCACCTCTCTCCCTGCGTTGCACACTGGAGCTGCCTTTCCTGCCTCTGTCTTTTTTTTTTTTTTTTCCTCCATAACACTATCACCTCCTTACATACTAGATAATTTACATACTTACTATTTTTTACTGTTTAGCCTGCCCCACCTTGACAGCCAGTGTGGCTGCAGGACAGGAAAGGCAAAAGAACAATGATGGCTGACCCAGTGCTTCCCGTCTTTCCTGGCCCCATGATATGGTTTGGCTCTGTCCCTATCCAAATCTCATCTTGAATTGTAGCTCCTATAACTCCCAGTGTTGTGGGAGAGACCTGGTGGAAGATAACTGAATCATGGGGACAGTTTTCCACATCCTGTTCTCATGGTAGTGAATAAGCCTCACGAGATCTGATGGTTTTATAAGGGGAAATCCCTTTTGCTTGGTTCTCATTCTCTATTGCCTGCCACCATGTAAGACGTGCCTTTTGCCTTTTGCCGTGATTGTGAGGCCTCCCCAGCCGTGTGGAAACGTGAGTCCATTAAACCTCTTTTTCTTTATAAATTACCCATTCTCAGGTATGTCTGTATCAGCAGCATGGAAATGGACCCCTATACCCCATTAGAAGCCAAGCTCCATGCCAGCAGGACGGAGCCTGTTTTGTTCAGTGCCTGTTCTCTGCCTAGAGCAGTCCCAGCGAACAGTGAGTGTCCTGTAAATATCTATTAGGTGAGTGAATCAATGAATGAACTGATGAACAAGTGAAGGGTGGAATTGCTGCCACTCACGGGGAGGGGGCTATGCATCTTATGGAATGAGCTGGTCTTCAGGACGGGGTTCCCTGGGGAGGGGGGGAGAGGGCTGGCAAAGGCAGAAGGTGCTGCTTCCAGAAAGGCAGGCCCACAGTTTGCCTGGAAATCCCCTTGGCATCACTCATCAACCCCCACCCCAAAACACATCCAATCCCAAACAGTAGCTGAAGAGTAACTTCAACCATAGACTCTCTTTCCAGGCCCACGCTCCCACCGTTGAGTGCATGCCGTCATCTGGGCCCCTACTGCATGCTCCTTGGATCCCAGGATGACCAGTAAAGAAAGGATGATGGGGGATGAAAGAGATCCCCTCTTACCCTCATCCCACTCTCAATGCACTAGCTGGGAAGGCAGAGCCAGCACTGCAGGTGAAGCTCTGAAGGTGAGATGGTGGGCAGGTAAAGGAGCTGCCAGTCCCACGGTCCCATGGCTGTGGGGTTTTAAGCAGGTGAGGTACACAGATGGTGACACAGGGAGCGGGTGTGCTGAGCATGGTGGCAGGCTGCAGTCGAGTCCAGTCTTGGGGTGGGATACAGACCAGGTGAGCTGGGCTGAAAGGATCCAAATGTGAGTGGGAAGTGATGGGAAGTGAGACGGAGTGTCCAGTGAGATTTGGTTGCTGGGACAATAAACAGAGAGCCATGATGGGTTTTTTCTAATAAGAAAATGCCATGTCCAATGCTGGATTTCAGAAAGAGGCTTAGGGAAGAGACCAATAGGATTACTTTGGGGAGGAAAGACTTGGAGTCCAAAGGCTGGGGCCCCTTGTGGTTATCCCAGCTTGTTCTATGAAAGCCAACACCAGAGGGGTGGCTGGGAGAGGGAGGGGAAGGATCAAATGGAAAATTGCTGTGGAGTCATTGTCAGGACTTAGTATTCTAGTGGGTGGGGGAGTTAAAACCAATGTCCACCTTCCTTCTACTTGAGCTGCGTGGAATAAGATAAAGATAAATAAGGAAGGGAACTAATAGGCATCCACTATGACCTAGACTTCGGATTTGGTTATTTCATTCAATTCTCAACCTCCCCTGAGGACAGGATATTAGCATCAGCATCTTACAGATGAGAAAATTGAGGCTTTGTAATTTACCTAAGATCATATCCAGAGCTAGGGAGACTGTAAAACACAGAAAAAAAAACCACTGACATTCATTGTAAATGCATAATACATCCCAGGCACTGAACTGTGTATTCTCCCATTTCACTTCAAAACATGGAAGAGATTATTTTTATTATCTCCATTTTATAAATGTGGAAAGCATAGTTCAGAAAAGTGAAGGTCACCAGCCCCAGGTCACAAAGCAAAGACGCAGCGGAAATGGGATTTGAACCCAGGGCATCCGGGTCTACACTCTACCGCTATACTAGACTGATAGTGACAAATTTGCAACATAATCTGTCTAGTTCCAAAAATGTGTTTGCATTGTACAGCAACTCAAGCAGGATTAGCTGCTCCATGGCGTAATGTCCCCATTGGGTGTTCCCTGCACTCTGTACCCCTCATGCCCTAACACCATCAGAACAGAAGGAAGGGTGCATTTGCTTTCTCTCCTCCTACCCATTTTCCCCACTCCCTTTCATTTCCTTCGTTGTTGTTGTTGTTGTTGTTGTTGTTGTTGTTGTTGCTGCTGCTGCTGCTGGACCTGCAATCTGCCAGTATGACCCCTGGTGGCTCTGTAGGCAGCAGGGACAACCCTCTCCCAGGCTTCATGCTACTGGAGATGATTTGCTTCCAATCAAATCTGACCACGTTCTGAGCTTCCAGCTTAGTACTTACAACTGAGACAACCAGTGCTGTAACCGCTGTGGATGGTGGAATCTAGACAACCCTGGGCAAACCCAGCCCTTGCAGTAGGAGAGCGGCCCCTTGTTCCACATCCTGTTTTATTGGGAGCAGACTTCAGTTGGCAGCATGCCAGAAAGCCCTGATATCCCATTTAACCCCATGGACAGTCTCTGTGTTTCTGAAGGCCAGCAGGTGCAATCCACCTGTTTATCTCCTGGACCCGCAGGCTTTGAGTCACCTGCCTCATGTTCTCCCTGCAAACTACAAGACCTCTTTGCCCTGCAGTAGACTCAGTGTGCTCAGGGCAGGTAGCAGGACCTGTTGCATGGTGCCCCGGGGAGCTGGGAAAATTCATAGTCACTCGAAACAGCAATAGATCCCAGCAACAGTCCAGGCCTGGCTTCCTCACTCGTTAACTGTGTGACCTTGGGCAAGTGACTGAACTTCAGTCTCCCCATCTGTAGGTTGGGCATAACAGGACCTGACGGCTAGAGTTGTAAGAGGTGAAAATGAGTTGATTCAAGTAAAAGCCAGGACCACAGAGCCTGGCCTGAATTAATTGTGATGACTGTTTGTACTTATTAGCCCGTGTCTCTGGGTCTCTCCGATGGCTAACTGCAAAGCTCCTGCCTGCCAACTGCTGCTCTGAGCTGGGGGCTTTAGGGATGTCTGGGCAAAGAGTTGCACTGAAGAAGGAGCAAAACCTCGAAGCAAGAAGAGCCACAGGGAGGCAGCTGTACTATGACTGCCAAGAGCAACTCACCTCTTTCTTGTCTTTCCTGGTACAAAGCACCCACCGAGTCAGCCAGAAACCTCTGATTCCGCCTAGAAAAATAAGAGAAGAGTTACACCAGGAAACAAGATAATGAAACTCATCTTGAAGCTTAAATGTGGACGGAGTGGTTCCTCAGTACCAGACAGCTCCCCACAAGCACATAAGAGTTTAATAGCTGTTTATTCTTCCATATAGACTAAAACTACATTCATCAGAAAAAGGGGAGTAATTCATTTCCTATGCCAGTTACGGATACACCAAACTGAAGAATATTTTCAAAGAAATACAGCTTATTATGATCACAAACTTGACCTAGAATAAACTACGATGTAAATGGATATTTACACTGGATGGTAATTTTTTCAAGTTATAAAAATACTTAAGTTTACAATGGACATTTACTACAAAACTATCTAATGCCACAGTGCCAAGTTGTTCTGTTTTTATTGGGTCTTTTACTCCTATGATCCTATTTCTGAATTTTTATATGTTCTAATTTATTATATGTCTGAATTCACTGAATGGGATGACATATGAGGAGCGTCTAGTACCATGTCTGGTCCCTGTTAAGCACTCAATAAATATCAGCTACTCTATTATTAATTATACGTTCCTGTGTGGGTTTCTCTTTCATTCCACCCATACAATTCCTGAACAAACATACACAGATATCAGCATAGTTTCTGCTGCTAAAATAGATATTCAATCTTTAAACTCAACCTCTGTTCAATCTAATTCCGACACCAGGAAGAGTAGTATTTCAAAAGGTGTTTAAAGATAATCGCCCCATTCTAACTTTCCCCATCATTAGGCTCAAAGAAATCACTCTAGACCCTTAGGTTGGCAAATGAAAACAGAGAGAAGAAAGAAAAAAGGGAAAAAGAATACCATCAGATTTGAAACAGAAAACTTGTAACCTTCACACACAAGAGAAAGGATTGTCTCTGGCTGGTGTTTGTTCTTTTGCTGGGTGTACATTATACATTATCACTCCGGTAGTTTCTGAGTTACTGAGGACAGGGCTGAGCTGGTACCCTGCGGCCAACTCCATCAACCAGCACCTACCACCAGATCAGATTGGAGGTCCCCCTGGGCTCCGGCACCCCCAACTCCCACAGCAGCAATACATGTTTGCTGGGTCTGCCTCCCACTATCACACCCATGAACTTAACCCAGGACCAACCTCGAATGCATAGGCTCTTGAATGCAGGGCAAAGGAGGTTGACAGTTTTAGCCCTGATGAATCATGCAACACTTGGGACCTAACTGGCCAATGCTGGACCTACCCTGCAAATGCTAGAAAACTCACCAAAACAGAGCAAGCAAAACTTCACAAGACCCACCAACTCCAACCCTGGCATCTGGAATGGGTTGCTGTTTCTACTTTATACAAAGCCATCCCCATGCGCAACCCATTTTCAGTTTGTTATTAGGTGGAAAGCATCCAATAAACTCATTCAAGCTAAAGCCCACCTGAATGGATGTAGCTTCAGTGTTACCCCTCCATGGGGGATGCACATTTTATCTTGACTCAGTCTTGACTCTTCACCCTGTCCCCGTGAAGCCTCAATTCTGCCAATGTAATAATCGCAGGGATTGGGGAGAGAGAGTAGTGGGACACTGGAGAGGGATCCTTTTGAAATCCTACAGTGTGGAATAGGCGAAAGAGGGGAGGCAGAGGCTTACAACCGAGGCTCTCAGACCTGGCTACTCATGGAAATCCCTGCCCCCTCCCCTGGACAGCTGGAAAATCATTCTGAAGCCTGAGCCCCACCCCAGAGGTTCTGATTGCTATAGGTGAGGCCTGGGCACTAGGATTTTTTTTTTTTCTTTTTTAAGTTCCCCAGGTAAGTTTAATAAGTAGCAGACTCTGAGGATCATCTGGCCATCTTGCTGAAATTTTGCATTCGGGGGGTCTGGGGTGGCAGCCTGAGACTCTGCCTTCCTAAACTTCTCCTGGATGAACCCAGCGCTGGGGGTCCTCAGAACATTCTGAGCTGCAAGGACTTAGAGGTATCCCCTCTTGCCCCTCCTATGCCCCTGAGGAACCTCAGGCAAGCTGACCACACCCCTACCTCCAGCCACAGCTTTCTCCTCTGTGTTGGAAAACACCACTTTTCCAGGAGGCCCCAGAGACGTGCCCCGTTGACTTCTCAAGTGCCAACTGGGTAAGAGACATTACTCATGTCCCAAGAGACAGCTGCCCCCTTCCCCCTTTCCTGTAATCCTGTTCGAAGCAGTCCAGCTTGTACCCTGAAGTGCACCTGGATCACTGCATTCAACACAATGGTTTGTTTCTGCTCTGGTCCTTAAAGGGAGTAGGGGTCTCTTGCCTGCTGGCTTTTTGCATCGGCAGGTTGACCAGGGCCACCAAGACGCAGGGCCGCCCAGGGAGCCTGACTCTGTCCGGGGCCCACTGGCCTTGGCATCTGCCCTGTGAAGCTCTTCCGTGACTTCACACACACCTCCCCACCACGTAGCACTGCCCTTACTGTCCTTGCCGCGGACGGCGGTGGGACAGGGAGTGGATGGCACTCCCTCGGAAAGAGGCCAACAGCAGCACGCCACACCCGACTCCAAACCTCTGAGGGAGGCCACAGACTGCAACTGGCTACCCACAACCTGCCCCCAAGGGTCCCTCCCTGCCTCCCGCACCCCCCGCCCCACCCCTCCCAGTTCCTTCCAGACATTCCCAGGGATGCCTGGAGCCATACACCACCTAGTGGTTCCCAGCTCAACACCAGCAACAAGACACCTCCAACCAAGAGGGAAGAGCCCTCTCCTCCAGGACACCTTAGACTGAGGAACCGGGAAATAAAAGGTCCAGCAGGTGAGGCCGCAAGGAGACATTAGGCTGGAATACGTCCAGTCCCACAAACTCGCCACCTTCTCCAAAAAGTGCACCAGGAACGCAGGAGGCCATGCTGGAAAAGGCTGCCACACGCTACAGGAGAAGACCAGGGCGGAAAGGGAAAAATACCTGGAACGGGAATGGGATGTCAACACTTTATGAGCTAGAGCCCCCTCTTTGGCCAGAATAAGAATTGCAGGTTGGGGGAATTCTTGGATATTCTGGATGGGTCCAAAATCAAGGTGGAGTGATTTCAACAAAACAGGCCAAGTAGTCAAGAAATCAAACCACTGGGTCCAATTTCTAGAACCCTACCCAAGGCCAACACATCTACTGGACTCCCAATACTTTTAGGGGGCCCAAGAAAATGTTCTAATTCCTTTTAAAACCAGAATGAATAAAATGACAGTAATACGAATGCCTAGATAACAACGAATCCAGCCTGAATTCTATTCATCCTTGTATCACTGTAATTGTAAAATACAATATTTATTTATTTATGTATTTATTTTTGAGATGGAGTCTCGCTCTGTCCCCTAGGCTGCAGTGCAATGGCGTGATCTCGGCTCCCTGCAACCTCTGCTTCCCAGGTTCAAGTGAGTCTCCTGCCTCAGCCTCCCAAGCAGCTGGCACGAGCCACCACACCTGGTTAAGTTTTGTATTTTTAGTAGAAACGGGGTTTCACTATGTTGACCAGGCTGGTCTCAAACTCCTGATCTCATGTGATCCACCTGACTTGGCCTCTCAGAGTGTTGGGATTACAGGCGTGAGCCGCTGTGCCCGGCCGTAAAATACAACGGTTTTGTTTTTGTTTTTGTTTGAGACGGAGTCTTGCTCTGTCGCCCAGGCTGGAGTGCAGTGGCGCGATCTCGGCTCACCGCAAGCTCCGCCTCCCGGGTTCACGCGATTCTCCTGTCTCAGCCTCCCGAGTAGCTGGGACTACAGGCGCCCGCCACCGCGCCCGGCTAAGTTTTTGTGTTTATAGTAGTAGAGACAGGGTTTCACCGTATTAGCCAGGATGGTCTCGATCTCTTGACGTCGTGATCCGCCCGCATCGGCCTCCCAAAGTGCTGGGATTACAGGCGTTAACCATCGTGCCTGGCCCGTAGAATACAATTTTTAATGTTTTATTTTTATAGAGGAAGGGGTCTAGGAAGACAAAAGTGTCAAAGATCAAGAACATCATCATGTGGTTCTGAATTTACCTACTTTTTTTTCCAGTCTCCAAACTTGTCAGCCTTTACTGAAACCCCTTGTTGAATGCTCTTTCTCGGAGACCCCCACTTGAGCCAGGGGACCCACCCCCACCTGCCTGCCATAGGTTCATCCTTTTTACTCCGGGTTCTATTGAAAGTTTTCTGACCCACTCCAGGCAAGTTCATCCCAGGCCCCGGCACCCTGGGCCTGTTTCTGGACAAGCAGAAGCTCCAACAGCTGCCACCCCCGCCTGTGTGTGAGAAGTGCAGGCTGGCAGGATGGAGCAGCAACTCTGAAGGCCAAACACACACACTCAGCCCCCTGCAGCATAAACACGGAGCATACATCACACCCAGGCCTATAAAAGATAATTATACAATCTGATCTGGCAAATTAGTGCCACAGAATGTCTAATTCTCACAATGAATTCCAGGGTTGGATCGGCAGGAAAAATTAACCTGGATCTTTATTGGGATTTGCCCCCAGGTCAAGATTAGGGTTTATTTATCTCCTTTATTTTCCTGTTGCAGGAGGGTGGAAGGCCTTCTCTCCTGCCCGCCCCTCCCCACCGCATCCAGGCTTGGCTTTTTGATAAGCAGGCTGCCCGGTGATCTTTCCCACACACTACCTGACCCAGCTCAGCTAAAATCAAAGAAAGCACCAACTAGGAGATATGTGTGATTTTTTTTTTTTTCATAAGGAAGAGAAGTTCAGGTATCCCATATCAAGGGATTCACTAGTTGGAACAAACTCAATACAAGGTAAACAAAAGAATGAACATTTCCAGATGGCAATGTACCTCCTAATTATTCTGGCCCGGCTCTGAAATGTTTACTTGGAGAACACTCACATATACACATTTCTCCAAACACCTTTTTCTTTCTTTCTCTCTTTCATTTGCTCTTCCTTTCCAAGGAGTCTTTCCAGAGGAGATAGTGATTAACAGGAGTCGGTGCTCATCTCGTATGCTCATTAAAGAGCTAGATCACCAAAGAATTGTTACCGCAACGCCAAGACAAGTTGACACCAAGCAAGGATTATCTTTCATCTAACAAAAACAAACCTGATGGCAGGCCGGCAAGTTTTCTCCTCTCTTTTACTGTCTTCCTGGGGGTTTCCCCTGCGGAAGATCATTCCCTATCCAACCTCCCAAGTCAGCCCTGCAATGACCACACACCCAGAGCTTGAAAGACAAGGCTCCGGTCAATATAGAGGGTTAGCATTCACCCTTTCAGCCTACAGAAAATGGGAGTCTGTCAGAGAAATAACACAAGCTTCCCTGCATCTAATACCCATGTGAGCTACTCACAAAATTCTTAAAAAGTGCCTCTCTCTGAGACTGACCTGGGTGAAAGAGAAACTGTGCTTTTCTAGCCTTACCAGTGGAGGGTTACGGTATTTTGCTCTGGCATGGGCACCAAACTCTTCCACTTTGGGCTAAGGTTTATCATATGTGGGCAACCTCACCCAAACAAATATATATACAAGGGTAGAGGTGTGTATGTGTGTGTGCCTACATGTGTGCATATATATATATTTTTGTTTTCAAGGACAATGACATTATGGAAAAACAAACCAGTTCTACACAACTGCTTCTGACTTAAAGCAATGAAAATGTTGTTTTCTTGTGCCTCGCTCAGAGGGATTCTAGGTGACCCAGTGAGAGGTGGTGGAAAGAGAGACTGGAACGTGCAAACCTACCATCAGCTGGAGTGCAATCTTTGTAGAGTTCTAGCCAAATCACAAACTCCAGCTCCAAACTGGGTGAGACGAGCGTGCACTTTTTGCAAGGAGATAAACACCCACTCCCTGCACGCTACATTGAGGAGTCTCACAAGGAGCTGAGAGAGAGCAAAGAAACATATCCCTCTTCCTGAAGGTGAACACAGGAAGATGCAGGCTTCATTCTGAACAGCCATCCATTCTAGGTGTGAATAGAGGCCATGGATGAGGAGTAAGAGAACGCTAAGGAGTCAGAAAAAATGCTGCAGACACAAGGACAAAACAATCTCAGCATATTATCAAATGATCAAAATCATGTCACACATGCATGGGTTCTACAGGCAAAGAGTTGCAGACTAAAATCTTAAGTCTAGACTTTTTTTTTTTTTTTTTTTTTGACACGGCGTTTCATTCTTGTTGCCCAGGCTGGAGTTCAATGGCACAACCTCAGGTCACTGCAACCGCTGCCTCCCAGGTTCAAGTGATTCTCCTGCCTCAGCCTCCAGAGTAGCTGGGATTATGGGTGTCCACCACCACACCCGGCTAATTTTTTGTATTTTTAGTAGAGACAGGGTTTTGCCATGTTGGCCAAGCTGGTCTCAAACTCCTGACCTCAGGTGATCCACCCGCCTTGGCCTCCCAAAGTGCTGGGATTACAGGTGTGAGCCACCACACCCAGCTTAGTCTAGACACCTTCTGGGTGTCTGTTTTCTCAACTGAAAAATGGGGATAGCTGTAGTGACTACTTCTTGCCCCTTGTAAACCCTCTACAACCATAACTGTTATTTTTATTTGAGGATGTAAAATATGACTATGCTTTTTTCTATATTGCTTCTCTCTATCTAATTAATTCTAAATTAAACTGTGTATTCAACTGCTTTGCATATTTCCTGCACTATAGCAAGTAATCCATAAATGTTAGCTATTGCTAATACTGTAAAAAAAAAATTATAGAATTGCATGGGTTATAAAAGCAAACTTGGAAGAAGGAAGCAAAAGGTTAGCATTAGTTATCTCTGGGTAGTCAGTTTAACAGTGATTTGTTTTCCTATTTTTACATGTCTAAAATAAACAGGCATTGTTTGATGAAGACCAAAGTGTCATGGTATTTAAAAGATAATAAAAATAAGATGGACATTCATTGTTTTGAACTAGAAATAAAACTATTAAGTGAACTTAAAAAAAAAAAAAAACAGTAAAAACAGAAGCTACAGACTTGTTTGCTACATCAGAGATGGATCAGAAATCAAGGATAAAGAGTATCCCCAAAAGGGTACTCTTGGGACCACCAACATGACCCAAAGTGAGACAAGAGCCAGACACACCCAGATGGCAAGTGCTGCTGTCAATTACAGGGATGGGAGGACAGTTCTTTCCACTGAATGATACAGTCAATATTGGCTTGAATGTGAACGTGACTGAGAATCCTAACCCAGCTGACAGGCTGCAGGCCACACGGTTGAACAGACCTGCTCTGTGGCATTTCCCAAATACCTGTGCCATTATAGACAGACGGTTCTCACAACACCCGCCTTTCGGTTCAGGACCTACAGCCCCTTGCACTTCCCCACGCCTGTTACACAAGCCCAGGCTGGGAGCAGAGGCCATGCTAGAAATACGGGGTCTGTGGCCCCACATGAGCCCAGGAAAGCAAGAGTAGACTTGATCCTCAGATTCCTTCTGCTAACTCTTCAGGCCTCCCAAGAAGGTGGGAATTCAGGTGACAAGGGGGTCTCGCTCAGGTGCCCAGACCTCCGAAGCTCCCCCTTACTTTCTTGGCTCCCCTTCTTCCTCCCAGGTCCAGCACAAAGGGGAACCCGAGGCTCAGTCCTCAGCCCATCCTAATTCCTGTTGCTTCCCCTTTTCCTTGAAGATGTCCCAAACCCCTGTCCCGGACTTTTTTCCTAAGCCCCATTTTGCCAAATGCCTACAGGGCAGGCTGATGACTGATTCCAGCCAGGATCTCAAATTCACCACATCCAAACAAATCCCCATACATCCTCAACCAGGCTCCTCTCAGCACCTCCCCATTTCAGGGAACTGAACCTCACTCTCTTGGTCACCCAGATGGGATGCCCTCCCCTCCCATAAAGCTCATCACTGGATCCAAGCACCTCTGCTAATGCTGTTCATGATCCATCTTCTCTTATATTCCTATGACCATCAGGTCTGGGATATTCCCATAATAATAATGTCATATATTCCTTCCC